TCACCCGCCTTGGGGCCGAGTTTCGAGTCGTCGAGACGTCGAGTCGTCGACTGGGCGTTCCAGCACGGTGCGCTCGGCTCGCAGGCGCTGCAAAGGCGACCTGGAAGTGAACCAAAGCGCTTTCATGTGGATGGACCAATCCATTTCGCATCCCTCCATATTTGCTTCTCCGTCCCCTGGAAAAAATGAGAAAATATGTCCAGTAGTGATAGATGTTCATTGAAACCAACAGGGGAAAATAAAAAAATAGTCTTAACCAAATGGAAGCATCACATTGCAAACATGGCTGCAACCATTATTTGCTTAAATTTACGTTGGGGACTCGAATGCAAAGAAACCGGACCCATTTCGCATAACATCGAAACCATGGTTGAAACAACAATTTGTTGGCATTTTCGTTGGGGAATCGTTTTTTTAGCGTTTCCGGTTTTCGCTGTTTTGTGAAGGAGGATTTCGAAACCAGCCACAGCGCTGGCCCTTCAGCACCCCGATATCCCAATTGCCACTCTAGGTAGCATGTTTCCTTTTAGTTCTTGAAGGGCGGTTCGCTTGGCCTACGAAACCAGGGAGATGGAATCACTGGGAATATGAGCAGGCCTGGTTCCTAAGGGATATGGTTCGGCCACTTTGTCCCTGGTTGAACATGGTTGTCTACAACTATCAGCATTATCATTACTAGCGGTATCTTTGTGATGATTATCATTGCAATGTTCTGATTTATTATTGTTAGTGTGGGGGATGGTTGATGACGTGGATGACCCTTATATATTCCCTTTGAACATCACCCAGCCTAGAGGAAGCTCACCCAAATCTTGCCAAAGGTGATTCAACAGGGCAAACAAAAACATGAAAACCCGCAGAAACCAAAGGCTAAACCGAACAGAGCTGGATTTGCAACGTGGCCCAAACCAACCAAGAAACCAGCCGAGAAAAGCGCCACACCTCACGGCCGAAGCGCCTCAACGTCACCTCCCGCGGCGTCTCCGAAGCACTGGCCTGCAGCAAATGAGCTCCAACTCACCATGAGAAGACATGAGGGTACCTGGAGTCTCCATGAGCCTTAAAAAATGGGGTCATTACCCAAACTTAGGGGGTCGTGGACCCATTCTTTAAGGGTCATGGAGACCCTAGGTACATGTCCAAGTTGGGGGATGGGGGGGTTTCCTTTGGTTCCCCTCAAAGCCACCCCCAAAAAAGGCAGCCCGCAAGAAACACAGACCCACACGCTCATCTTTGGAGGAGGCCTCCGGCGAGCGGATGCCACCCGTCCGCCCGTCCGCGCCTCCACTTGCGTCTCCTCAGGTCTGGCCTGCGCGTTGCGGCGCGCTGCAAGTTCTGTCCGGATGGCTTGTGGTCATAGGTGTCCTTGGGGAAATAGATGGGTTTGATTAAACCAACAGGTAAACCAGGAATCGCCATCTTTTAGGGGAAATACTGTGGATGGACAAAATCCGCTTCTCGCATCACTTTGAAACCATGGTTGAAACCAACACGTTTGTTGGTACTTACAGTGGAATCATCATTCCAGGGTTCCTTAGGTGGTGCAGGATTTCGTCCATCCACAGTAGATGGGCCTGGTAGATGATTAAACCACCAGAAAAACCAGGAATCGCCATCTATTCTTCTACCTATGCTTATGGTCTCATGCCTCATGGTCTTCGGCACTTACCTGCTTACCCCGGCTTGCCCACGACCGCGGATTTCGCAATGGACAGTTCTGCGACTTGCGTTGGCCGAAATGAGATCAGATCCAATGCCAACATCCCATGGCACAGGCAACTCCCTCGGCAGAGAAGTGGAGCCCTGGACAAGGCAAGCAGCAGGTTTCAAGAATCCGATCCACTTCTCCACATCCGCAGAACAGTTCCCGCCTTCACATTGGGTCAAACAAACATGTTGTGAACTGGTGAAAGTTCTACCAGGACCAGACAAGACGGCTCGCTTCAATATCACCAAGCATTGGGTGTGTAACCTTTTTGAAGCTGCTTTGTTTATAACTCATACGTATCGCTATGAATGCTACTTAGGGACCCTTTGGTGAACGTCAGAATTCGATGGGGATTTATTTCCACCAACCACTTTTCAGGGGGATCCCACCAATAACATTCATAGCAATATATCCTCACTAGCACAAACAGCTCCTTGTGGAACAGCTTTCAGCTTCTGTTGTAATCTAGATTCGTGTCTGAGCTCCTTCTAGATCTCAAATGGCCATGGGTCAAAATCCCGTACCCCCGCTGAACATCGCAATCCCCACTAGAATCGACTAAAATGGGTGGCGCACCCACCCCAAAATGGGATCCCATTGGTTTTGACCCACAGCCAAATCGGTTTGGACTCGCCTCCGTCAGCGTGCGTCGCAGAAAGCTCCCTGCCTCCGGGGCCTCGTGTCGCTCGGGACGGTCTGGCCTGGTCGGAGCCCCGGCTGGCGAAAGATGACAGAAGTTCAACTCAGCCTCTTGGGGGGAGGGACTTCTTGGGGGAGGACAAAGAAGCCCTCAATAAGGCCTTAAGGGCGTGAAACTCGGTTATGCGAATCATAATCAACACCTGGAACTAAAATAGCGTGCCCAAAAACAGGTATTCTGATTGTGGCGCAATGCGGTTTAGTCATCTCTGAACAATTCGCAAGGGCATCGCGCCATCTACTTTCGCCCCGGTGATTTCGCGGGTAAAGAGCCGTATTCCCTTGTTTTCAGAGGGTTGCAATCTGATACCTGTGCCAGTGATGGGAACGCAACACTTGATTGATAGGGGCTGGCCAGTTTGGAAGGGAATCCTTCACTTTTGCTTTCATCCAAGGACCCCAACCTCAAGGCGTGGCGAGGCCAAAGAGCCATGGGTAAAGGGCATACCATTTACCAGAAGCAACATCCTCAAAAGACAACAAGATGCCAAGTCGGAGATACCAACATACCATAATAATACCCATACCCAAGATCTTTAAGGGGGACCCAAGAAGAGGTAGATCCTCAAAAGCTCCAGGGAAAACCCAGGGGTACCTTCACCAGGTAGCTTGGGCGCATCTCCAAAACTCTCCTCTTTCCATTTGAACCCAACCAAAACAGGGTTTGGCCCTGTTTAGAAGCATACCTTCGACCCTGCCCCGCTCCACCAACAATCACCACAACGTGGCAAATCATTGGCTGGTTGATCCAACTTCCCATTATCCGCTGTGGGTGGGGAGGTCCAAGACATACCATTGTTTGGTACGCAAACAATGGTCATGCTGCCCATGCCCCAATTTGGTATCTGTGTGTGTGTCAAAGTAGGGAAATTTTGATTCCCAGAATGGCCAACATGGGGATTTTCCCCTTTTGATGTCCCATCATGCTGAAGAAACCGTGACATCCGCGACAAAAAAGACACCAAGCACAAGCGCACGACATCGACCGGACTTTTTTTCGACGAAAAACCTCGCCTCCGAGCTGACTCGCCCGCACGGGCAAGTCCTGGATGAGCAAAATTGCATTTCTTCTCAGCCTCTACTATGTCACTATATAAGCTAGGTCCTCCAATAAAGAAGTTAGAATAAGGGCACCAACTGTTTTTTCTGTAGTCTAGTTTAGTAGGTTTTTTTTGGTAGGGAAACCCCAAAAAGGGTAAAAGGGCACCACTGCAGGACCTAATAAGCGCGACTCACCCATTGTTTCAGAGATTATTCTTTCCATAAACTGGCCAACCCCCAAATGCCATGGCTTGTGAAATCCATGGCGAGTTGACCCTTAAAAAAAACCTGGACAGACTTTGTCTCCACATGGTCAACCAGACGTAGCTGTTGCATGAATACACATCCACTAAACATCCGGCGATTGGTCATGCTTCAGAATCTTTGATAAATCTCCTAGAGTGTCAGCCAACTGACTCTTTTGCAGCCATTGAACAGGACCAAAGAAACAAACCAGCTTTGCTCTCCACCGGCATTCAAAAGGCGCGATGGGGTTCATTGGAGCGACAAGGGCTCCATTGAATCCAAAAGCCATCTGGAACTTGGAACGATACATCTTAGGTGGCCCGCACCTTGGTCGCTGCATTTCATGGGTACCGGGACCTTGCGGTTGGTGCCGACTCTGAAAGTGCAGAGTCAATGGGAACCCCGGATCATTTTTTTTGCTACTTCCAATATGAGGCCCGGTGTCCCTGGTTTTAGCAGTGGTTCAACCCCTGCATATTAAAACAAATAAAAAAAGCACGTGTCTTATGTTCGGGGTTAATATTATCCTTCAATCAGCTTTCCTCTAACTGGTGGTTTGGTTGAGGGATTTCCCATTTACACACAAGAACCCCCAAACCAGGGTTACCTGATTCACTCACATCCTGAGTGGATGGGCCAAAACAAGCCCAAACTTCTTGCTTAATGCGAAAATAGGTCCAACTCCAAAAAGTGGCTGAAGTCCCGGAACTCGGGAGACATTTTCCATGCGGAAGTAGCAGAAATCATTCAGGGTTGATCTTGAACCCAGAGGTCACCGGCACGAGACCTAAGCAACACCTCCGTAGGGCCCAGCTGGCTTCCGAGGTCCTCTGGGGGACTCCGGAGAGCTCCGGCCGAACACGGACGGGCCTTGCGACCGGCGCGAAGTGGTCCCAACCAAAGGAGTTGAATGGGGAAGGGGTACGTGTTGCCGATTGGCGTCCGAAATGTGCTCCAAGAAATGATGGTTCTAGGATGCCGCCTGTTTTGAACCAGTTGACTAGAACCCAAAAAACGGGTCTGACTGAAGGTCATACCCTTTTAGGCTCCTTACACAATTACACAAGGGCGACTTGGACGGTACATGGTTGTCGGATATTAGGGAGGGAACCCGCGAGGTTGACCTTCCGCCTTGAGAAACACAACTCCAAACCAGTTGGACCCGGCCGGCCGGAGCTCAAAAAAGAACGAAATCAGTCACCCAGCTTTGCCGCGCTGTCCTACCCATTTTCCCAAGGGCACTACCAATCTAGCGGGAACTTCCCCGTTCTTTCCAGGAAGCCTTTTCCAGATCACCACCAAAACCCCTGGGGAAATGGCTGGTTTTTGAAAAAAACAATGGCTGAAAAGAATGGAAATGGAATCAACCCCTAGAACCAAGGGAAACAAGGATCACCTAAGGGCACCAAGGATCCCGCAGAAAAAACAAACACGAAAACACGTCCCATGCGCAAAATGCTTTCATGAGGCTCACCTTCTGGTCAGTTCCAACTAACATACGTCGATATGTTTCTTGAAGGTGCGCTTTTTGGTGGGTTCTGAAGGGAAAAACAAAGGGACGCCAGCGTTTCTTTTGTTTTTCCTCTTTTTGTGTTGTTTCCCTCTCTTTTTTGCGGGGGAGAGGGCCCATAAGAAACAAAGGCACACATATATATATATATACATATATTATATATATATTACGCATATACACACCCATTCATAAATTCACGCACCTATATTATATTTATGCATGCATGCTGATATTTTCATGGATTCCCTTTAGAGTCTCTGCATTTGGTCCGTTTCAATGTGAACCTGTGGTTGGGGCACGACCCCACCAAAAACACACACACACACACACCAAACACGCAGTGATTTTTGCAGGATGGATTCCTGGCTCCACAAACCTGTGTAATGTGTGTATAGCATTGGGAAAATTGGAAAATGAGTATGGGTCAAAATTAAACCACCGGAATACGGCTCGTGCTTTTTTTGGAATCACATACTTTGAAATCACGCCTGGGCGGGTCACGAGGTGATTTTCCGTTTCAGATCACGCTTTGGGGGGTTCCGGTGTTCTTTTTGATTGAATTCACGCCTCTTGGAACCGGGTGTTTTGTTCGGGTTGAGGACTCGATCCAGCGGCACGGGCCTCGACTCGATGAACTCCTTCGCGTTCTTCAATGCGTTGGCACAACCACTGCGACCAAGACCAGGGAGACTCTTGAATGCTGTGCAACCAGTCTTCTGGGCCTCTCTTTTCCTCTCGGCCCCTGATCGTCGATCAAGATGTGAACTCCGAGGTCACGCAATGAGTCGGCCTTGCCGCCACGTCCGAACTTGTCGTTCACGATGTGGATAGCTGCATCAGCGCCCTGTAGCCGTGCCTTGAAGTCATGCTGGGGGCTCGGGTGTTTGTTCTTATTGAAATCACGCAAAGGCGTGATTCAAAGGCGTGAATTCAAAAGAAAAAACACGAGAGCCCAGAGGCGTGAGTTCAAAAGATGCGAGCCCACAGGCGTGAATTCAACAGAAACAAGCACAGGGACCCCCCCTCTACAGGCTTGATTTCAAACTATGTGATTCCAAAAATAAAACACTGGAGCCGGCGGGATTCCGCAAAAAAACACCGGGATCCCAGGCGCGATTTCAAAATAAAACACGGCTGGTGTGAATTCAAAAAGACACCGGTTCCACCAGGATGCGGATCGCAGGTTCTAGCCATTGTTTCCATTTGCTAGGGCAACCCGTTTTGGGCACCTATTGTTGACCCACGCCCAAATGCGTGCACCAGAGTGCACACACAAATAGATTAATATCATGCACTGTACCAATAGATCATGCAGCTACATGAGTCACATACTTTCTCTGCCGACAGCCAAATTCAGGTATCCAGAGCGCAACATGAGTAAACCAAAAACGTGTGTAAGTCCTCAACCCCCAAGCTGCTTGCAAGTAGTGAAACTGTCATTGTCTAACACGTCACCAGGATTAAGAAAAAAACATGGAGAAACCATTTCCTAGAACTTGTGTGACTCTATTGGGAAACATCATGTCAATTCCCGCGAATGGTTTTCAAAACCAAGGGCCAGGCTGTCCCAAGTCACAAGCCTGATAGAGAAAAGCAGTCTCGAACAACACCTCCCCGGAAACTGGCAGCAGGTTGCGTGCCAGAGCTGCGGAAGCAGAACATGGAAGCAGGCCTGTTCGAATGAAAAAGGAACCCCCGTCCAAACAGCACACCTCCATTTGCTTAAGTCCCCTGGAAAAAATGGGAAAAAACAGTAGTGAAATCGATTCCCTTTAAAACCAACAGGGGGGGGAAAACAACAAACAAACATATTCTACCCAAATTGGAAGCAAAGGACTCATGGTCTTACTAGAGGCTCTCTAAGACTCCCGCGCGCCGCCCGGCCGAAAGAGCTCAAAGTCGGCGTGCCGCGCTGGCGAGCCGACTCCTTAGGCAATGTTCGACCAACCCGAAGATCTCTTACTCCAACAACCATGGAAGACAAGGAATTGGCCTTTTCAAGATGTTCTTCCAAGCCCTCCCATGCACTTGCACTATGTTTTGCCATTTTGTTGCCTGTGATGCCAAGGGAAAAATACGTATTGTTTTCTCTGCACAAAGCAATGATCCACAATTTTGTTAAATAGTCGTTCGAGACTACTCGACATTGTCAAAAAAGCTAAGGCTACGTCAGTCGTTCAGCAACCAAGGGTCTCCTCCAAATGGCTCTTTGCTTTCCCTTGAAAGCCATCGTCATGGGGTCAAGGCGTGGTCTTTTATTCCTTGGAAACACTCTTCAACAATTGAACGTATG